AACTTCATGAAACTTCGTAGAACTATAGGAAACTTCGAAAAAGTATTGGAAACTTCGCAGAATATCAGAAAACTTTGTAAAAGTGCAGCAAATTTTTTAGGGGATCAGAAAATTTGGTAGAAGTTCAGTTTACTTTGAGGAACTGCATCAAACTGGGTTGAAATTTAACGACGTGTGGAAGCAAACCCACTAAGAAATGTTTTTTATCCCAAAACCCCCTCCATGATTTGTTTTCCGTGCTGAGCATCAATGCTACCGACGCCAGGGAAGCAGCTCCCACACCTGGACCCTACCTATTGACCAATCAAATCATGAACCGAGGACCAACGGCTTTACTTCCCTTTCGAAGCCAGGCCTGCAGGGGTGAGAGGTAATCACGCTTATCACTACACCACCGGCGCCGTTGATATTTGCTGTGATTCGTTTGAATCTTGACCGTTTGACGATAAGTTCAGACATTTAGGCTGACTGAAACTGAATCAAAAGTTGTTAAAGCTTTCCGCACCATCAGCACTTATCGCAAGTAGCAATTGGGGTTTTATGAGGGTTCTTCAGACTATGATTTAGACTTGTACCATGCTTTAAAACCGTGATAAAACTTGCAATGTTACTTGTGATGGCATCCAGAAAGCTACATCTCCTACACGGTAAGAAAAAAGTAGCCAAAAGTAAGTTCTTTTCACTCATCTCGGCACTATAGTGCAGGAACTTAAAAGTAGGTAAAGCTGGCCAAAGTAGTTTTCATTTACTTGTGTACAATTCGTATGGAATTTTCCACTAGATTTCTACCCAAAAGTAAGTTAGTTGTACCCAAAAGTAGGTAAATATGATTATACTCAACGTTGGGTTCCCACACTTTACTACCCCTAATGGGTGGTTTTGCTCCTCCGTTTTTTATTTTATTTATTTATTTCGTCAACCAACGTAGACTAGTACATATTAGAATACAGTTTTGTTTTCTTAAATTTATTTATTTATTTCGTCAACTTTGGACAAAAGGTTAAAAGTATATTTTTTTCTTTAATAAAAAGTAAGCAGTGTCAGCTTTCCTATTTTTTATGAGTTATAATGCCTTATGGAGTAAAAATATTGTTTTAGTTTATGCCGAGACATTGTAAAGTCAATGGTTTCGCAGTATTGATTGTAAGAGGCCATCATGCGGTTTAATGGCCCATATTTTGCATAATTTGTGCGATGATGTTTTATGGGAAATAAATTTCGATTTCGGAGTTGCCGAGTAGGTGCATGGAAATTTAATTTTGATAAAAGTTCTGTGGAGTCATTGCGTTGCGAAACGATATCGTTTACAAATGAAACCATTGCATATTCACGACGCTCTTTTAATGTTTGTATGTTTATAAGCATGCAGCGTGCTTCATATGATGGAAGAGGAAATGATGTCCAATCTAATTTACGAAGAGCGTATAATAGAAATTGTTTTTGTACGGATTCTAATCGTGATTGAAAAAGGAGACCATACAATGCTGCAATATTCCAGTATTGACCTCACATAGGCAATATATAGTGTTTTAATTGTGTAAGGGTCCTGAAAGTTATAGCAAAAGCGCTTGATAAAGCCTAGCATGTTATTTTCCCTGTGAATAATTGTATTGTAATGGTCTATGAAAGTTAGCTTAGAGTCTAAGATAATTCCTAAATCTCTAACTCTTTCACATTTGTCTACAGTTTGATTTCCTAATGCAATTGAAATGTTTGAAGTTGTTCTTTTTCTACTAAATGATATTAAGTTACATTTTTTACATTCAATTCTAGTAGACTTTTTTTGCACCATATGTAGAATATGTGTATTTCATTCCGGAATATATTGATGTCTTCTTCATTTCTTATTTCCAAAAAGAGCTTCATGTCGTCGGCATAAATAAGCAATTTAAGTTTTTTGAGAATGAAAGAAATGTAAAGAAGAGGTCCCAAATGAGAGCCTTGGGGGACGCCTGAAGTGACTTGAATTGGACTCGATTTCTTTCCGTTGAATTTAATTATTTGTTGGCGGTTAGTTAAATATGATTCAAGCCATTTTAGGAGCCCTGACTCAATTCCAATTTTTTGCAATTTAAAAAGTAGCATTGGTATGTCTATGCGGTCAAATGCCTTGCTAAAGTCTGTATAGAGAGCTTCTACGTGGTTTCCATTATCCATTGCATTCAATGAATAGTCTATAAATTCAAGTAAATTTGTCGAGGTCGAGCGACTCTTGAAAAAGCCGTGTTGCATGTCAGTAATTCTATTTTTGATTTGGAGAAATAATTTTTCGTTGACAATTGCCTCGAACAGTTTAGGAATGCAAGAGATAATGGCTATACCACGATAATTACGTACGTCAGATTTTCGGCCAGATTTAAAGATAGGCACTAGGAATGAGCTTTTCCAAGTTTTTGGGAAGGTTCCAGATTCCAGGGACATATTAAAAATCCAGAACAATGGAGCAGTGAGTTCCATTGCTAGACATTTAATAAATACTGGAGGAATTCCGTCAGGTCCAGGACCTTTTGAGGCGTCTAATTTTTTTAAAGCCTGCAAAATATCCTGCACTTGAAGTTGATTGAGGCCAATGTCCCTTGAAAATTCTGGAAAAAAGGCAAAATAATCGCGGTCGCGATCTTCTTCAGAAAATGTCGTATAGATTTCTTGAAAAAATTTTGCAAATAGATTGCAGTTTTTTTCCGAGCTGTCACCGACATTTTCGTCGAGTTGCATTATTGAAGGAAAATTGTCAGATTTTAATTTGGTTTTTACGCAATTAAAGAAGTTCTTTGGACAGGACTTTATTTCATGTTCTGTTTTTGCATTACATTCTTCAAATGCAGTACTGATAGCTAAATTCAGTTGATCGCATATATCCAAATAAATTAATAAATTATTACTAATATTGTGTTTTTTATAAATTTTATGTGCTTTTTGCTTCCGATTTTTCAAGTTTTTCATTTGTCTGTTATACCAGACTGGATTTTGTGTGTTTCTGTTGCGTCTTTTTGACGTTGGATAACGTCTTTCGGCAACATACGGGGGTACAAAATTGAAAACAGTCATTTTGGATGAGTTACGAAAAATTAAAAGATTTTGAGCGATAATAACTCAACCGTCTCTCGATAGATTTACGAGATAATGGCATCAATCAATTGGAAATATTTCTAGCAATTTGCTGAATGTTTCAAAACTAATGATTTCATTCTGTAAACTATTGAAAAATGGTTAAAAGAAAACCATTGTCTAAAGATGGTGAAAATCGATTGTTTTTTTTTTATATTCTTATACTTTTTCCAACCGAGACATAAGATGCAAGTATCTGACACCTCTGATATTTTCTGTTCTACTATATAAGCGTCCAACAAGGTCGCCCGTTCCATCATTGTCTATCCGATCGTCGACCCAGCAGCAGAGCAGCAGAGCAGCAGTACCAGAGCAGCGGCAGCAGAGCAGTGGCAGCAGAGCCTGGGGCGAAAGGGCAACTACGCCGAGTGCGTTGGTGCCAGTGCTCCGGTATACTGGGCCGCCGTCATGGAATGCCCAGCTGCTGCAGTTCTCAGTCGGTCGTATTCACCGTCTGCTCCGCAAGGGCAACTACGCCGAGCGCGTTGGAAAAATGGCCCTTTTCAGGGCCACAACATTATTAAGAAAGAGTTTAACGATTAATTTTCTAATTGCGAAGCCATATTTTATCTCGAAAAATAGTTTTGAAATTCTTAACAACGAGAATCTTGAAAACATAATAAAATTTACTTAGAAAGTACCATATGTTATTTTCTAGTGGATTGGGCAAAGACCTTTTCACTTTGATGCTACATGAAAATAAAGTGAAATTCATTTCCAAATCATATACCGGACCCGGCTGTGTTTGTTTTCCAAATCTCGAAAACAAACCCCCGCACACGTTCTATTTCGTTACTTCTAGACTAACATTTGAAAGGGGCGGAAGAGCCAAAATGTAAACAAACCATATTTTGGCACATATAGAGAGAACAGTTCACAAACTACTCGATAAACACGAAAAAGTAGAAGAAAATATCACTTCATATCATCAAAAACGTTTCTTCTTACATGGCGTATTTCCAACTTTCAACTCGATGATGCAACTGGTTGTTACGCCTTGCACCAGAACAACGAATTATATTGTTTTAATATGCCAAACGTATTGATTCTGTAGTATCTAGTCACGCCCGATTCATTTGAAACGCATCCGATTGATATTTCACGTGTAAACAACGAACAAAAAGAAGACCAAAAAAATCTCCGGGCGTAATTCCCAGGGGCCTGGCTAGCGGCCATGTTTTTGATGCTATCATCTACTCTTGTCTTTCTGCTTATAACACGATTTTTCGTCCCTTTCCACCATGCATACGTCAGGCGGGCCGTATTTAAATAAGGCCCGAGATGTTGCCTACTGTCAAACGTATAGGATTGATATAGGGTTGCCAGCCCCCTGGTAATTCCACTCTCACAAACGAAGAACCAAGGCGGAACAACAAACAAAAAATCCCGATGGTGTACTTCCACGGCGTATCACCAGTGTTGGCAGTTCAAAGTGTGGAAGATCTGGGTGTAACAACATGTATGAAATTATCAGAGCGTATGATGTTTTCTTCTCAATTTCACGACAAAGAAAACTTTTTTTGAGTTTTTGGTTATGCATGATGATAGATTACACTATTAACTATATGTCAAGCTTATAAAATCATCCAGAAAATGGAAAGTCGTGAAACAGGATTAATTTTTAGGTCACCAAAATTCGGAAGCGATTTTCTCGATATGGTTTTTTTGGAGTTCCGCCCTTTTCAAATGTTAGTCTAGACTTAATCTAGACCAGAACGGAACGAAAGGTCACTTCAACTCTTTTGAATTATTGTGGTGGCCCTGAAAAGGGCCGGTTTAGTTAAGATACGACGAGCCAGCTGGATGTCCTTCGGCATGATAGTGACGCGCTTGGCGTCGATGGCACACAGATTGGTATCCTCGAACAGACCGACCAGATAGGCCTCGCTAGCTTACTGCAGAGCCATAACAGCTGAGCTCTGGAAGCGCAGATCGGTCTTGAAGTCCTGGGCAATTTCACGGCAACGTTGGAAAGGCAACTTTCGGATCGGCAGTTCGGTGGATTTCTGATAGCGACGGATCTCACGCAAGGCGACGGTGCCTGGCCGGTAGCGATGGGGCTTCTTTACTCCTCCGGTGGCTGGAGCGCTCTTGCGAGCGGCCTTCGTTGCCAACTGCTTGCGAGGAGCCTTTCCTCCAGTGGACTTGCGAGCCGTCTGCTGAGCTGGTTGTGATGTGTATGCAATGAAAGCACACTGTGGAATAAAATTAAAAACTACTACTTAATACTACTATTGACAGCTTAAAACTAACCTACTCTACTATATACACTTAACCTACTATGTACAAATTGCTTATTAAAGCATCTTCAGAAAGATTGCATTTTTGAATAAATTTAGTTGTCATATCATCAATTTTGGAATCTACTTTGGGAATATCTGCCTCTTGATGGAGGTCTGCTATTCTTGTGTCGAATGGACGATCTAGGATCATCCTCAACACTCTATTCTGTGCAACCTGGATTTTGTTCCTGTGGGTCTGAGCGCACGATTCCCACACCGGGGCGGCATAGAAGATCGCGGGGGCTATGATCTGTTTGTAAACAGCCAGTTTGTTTTGCCTTGAGAGGCGGGATCTGCGGCAAATGAGCGGATACAAACACCTAACCAAGGCGGAGCACTTAACTAGGGTTTTCTCTATGTGCGAGCGGAACAGGAGCTTCTCATCGAACAACATCCCGAGATAAGTAACATCAGTGGACCACTCGACCCTTGTACCATCCATTATTACGGTACAGGAGGGAGACGGTTTAAGTTTTAATGATTGTCTGTGAAGGAACATGATCGCTTGGGTTTTCGAGGCGTTGATTTTGATTTTCCACGTGGTGGCATAATCAGTAAAGGTGTCAAGGCATCGTTGGAGCTTGTTCGTAATTTCACGAGGCATCCTACCCTTGACGGCTATCGCGGTGTCATCTACAAACAGAAAGAACACGCAACCGTCTCCTAGAGGAGGGATGTCCGACGTGTAGATGCTGTAAAGCAGTGGTCCCAGCAGACTCCCTTGCGGAACACCTGCTGGGATCGGAAATTGTCCCGAAAGGGAACTATTCAACGACACCCTGAACGACCTTTGCTGGAGATAGTTACGGGTGATTTTCACAAGGTATGGTAGAAAGTTGGAGTTACAAAGCTTGTATATAAGTCCGTCGTGCCAGACATTGTCAAACGCCTTTTCGACGTCTAACAAGGCCATGGCTGTGGACTTGGATACAGCTTTGTTACTTCGGATGTTATTCATCACCCGCACTAGCTGATGATTGGTGGAATGCCCCTTGCGGAACCCGAACTGTTCCGGAAGAAGAATGTCATGTTCCTCCACAAACTTGTTTAGTCGGCTGAGGATCAATTTTTCGAACAGCTTGCTCAGCGCTGAGAGCAGGCTAATCGGTCTGTAGCTTGACGGTAGTGAAGGGTCTTTCCCAGGTTTGCGGATCGGGATGATTTTTGCCACCTTCCAGATGCTTGGAAAGTAGTGCAGCTCCAAGCATCTGTTGAGGATGGCAGCCAGCAGCGAGTGCACCCTCGCGCTGAGATTTTTCAACTCTAGGTTGAATATTCCGTCAAACCCGGGAGCCTTCATGTTCGTACTGTGTTTCAGCGCTGAGCAAATTTGTTCCTCTGTAATCCGTTCTTCTGGAGGGACGGCACAAGGGGAGGCATCTAACGTCTGGACGCACTGCACAACCTGGTTCTCGAGTGGACTTGGGATTGTAGAGCCAAGCAAATGCGACTGGGCAATGTGCTCCCCAATTGCATTGGCCTTCTCTTCGTTGGTTATAAGCCGTTCGTCATTGACTCTAAGTGGTGGAATGGGCTTGGGGTGAGACTTCAGCACCTTGGCAACCTTCCAGAATGGTCTGGAACGGTCGTCCAGGTTCTGAACGAGCCGCCCGAAACTCTCGTTCCGGATTAAGACCATTCTGGAAGCGATCTGCCGATTCAGATCGACCATTTCGTATTTACGCTGCAGATCCCCAGTCCGCTGAAACTGGCGTCTACGAACATTTCTGAGCCGAATCAAGAGTTTGGTGTGGGAATCAATTGCTTGAAACTTACCCCTCACAGGAACTCGTCGAACGCACTCTTCGTCAGCCACGGATATGGCTTGATGGAGACCCTCCAGGGCCCGGTCGATGTCCTCCACTGTGTCGAGCGGTGGGTTGTCGTCGATGTGGCGGTCGACCACGCGTCGAAACTGGACCCAGTTGACTCGATGGTAGTCCTTCCGCTGGCACGGTGCAGGGGCCACGTTGTAGCCCAGCTCGGTCAGCACCGGTTGGTGGTCCGAACTCAGGTCGTTGACGGCAACCGGCTTGGCTAATCTGGTGTTTGCCAAGAACAGGTCCAGCGTCGATGGGTTGCCCGTCGGTGATGTGAAGGTTGGTTCGTCCGGAAACCAGACGGAATAGAGACCATGCTGGGAATGGTCGAATAGCAGGCGGCCGTTCTGGTTCTGCTGGTAGTTCCGCCAGGCCTCGTGCCGGGCGTTCAGGTCCCCTCCGATTACAAAGCGGGCATTGGTGTGGGTTATGATGGCAAGGTCGTTCTTGAACTGCTGTGCTGTACCATTGCTAACGGTAAATTGCCGGGGGCAGTAGACAACGATGAACCGGACGTTTCCGGTCGATGTTTCCACCTCAACGCCGACGGCCTCGATGATGGAAGTGCGCTAGTGGGGTAGGGTGCAGTACTTGATGCCTTTCTTGATGATGACCGCGACACCGCCCCCCCTGGAGCTGGTGCGATCAAGCCGGACAATGCTGTGGTCGGGCAGCCAGAAGCTGTCACCGGTCTTGAGGTGGGTCTCGGTGAGAAGGCCCACGTCGATGTCGTGCTTGCGGAGGAAGTCTGCAAGCTCAATGTTTTTCGCCCCTACGGAGCGAGCGTTCCAGTTGGCGATCTTTATGGGTTCACGGTCCATAATTAGCGACGAAGGAGATGATAGCTTGGAGCTGTTGTGTTCTTGTTGCGCAGGTGCGCTTGATGATGATGGCCTGGGCCAACAGTGTGACGATCTCATCCGTTGACAGCGGAGAATCGTCTGTAGCTTCACCGGTTGTACCGGCCAATCCCGGAGCAGGGGGATCCGTCGATGGCCCGGAGGCTTGACCGGGTACTGCAGCGGCAGCCAACTGTTGGTTGAGCGGGAGCGGCGGCAACACTGGAATTGGCCGTGATTGGACCGGTGATAACGGAGGAAAGTTCTGCGCGTTGTTTTCTGGAACCTTCTTGCGACCGGGCTGGCTGTTGGACGAGGCCTTCTTCCGGATCTCGGCGTATTCGGCCCGCTTCGGACAGGCCTTACTCGTGGCCTTGTGGGCGGCACCGCAGTTGGCGCATGTGGGAGTGGCTTCCTCGATGCTGTCGCAGTTGTCGATCTTGTGGTTTTTGCCGCATTTGATGCAGCGGCTGGCCATGCGGCAATTCCTGGTGCCGTGCCCGAACAATAGGCAGTTCGAGCACTGAGTGACGCCACGGTGGGTGGGTTTATACCGCTCCCACTTCACTTCGATGTGGAACAGTGTGCGTGTCGTCTGGAGATCCTTCACGGTTGTGGAGTTCTTCTCCAGATGGACCAGGTAGAGCTGGTCACGATACTTGATGGCCTTGCTGCGGGTCATCTTGTGGACTTCGACCGGCTTGAGGCCGTTCGCCTTAATCTCGTCCATTAAGGTGGTGGTGTCCATGTCGTGGAGCCCGCGCAGCACCACTTTCAGCGGCTTGGTGGCCTCGATGTCGTGGGAGAAGTACTCCAGCTTCATTCTGTCCAAGAGGGCCTGAACTGCGTTGAAGTGTTTTTCGGCCGGGACCATCAGTTTGTAGCCTTCCGTGCACCGTTGAATGGTGCAGCGAGGGCCCTGCTTAATGTAGAAATCCAGCTGCTCCCATAGCCCGGGAGGGAAGCCCTTCACATAGAAGGGTGGCAACTTAACTTTTTTCGGCACCGTCTCAGGGTCCGACTGCGGCTGGGCTCCGTTCTGCAGGGCGGAGAACGGATTGTTGCTCAGCAGCTTTTTTGCTGCTGATACGGTGGCGCTGCTGTCTTCAGGTCTGGGTCGTTTAGTTCCGGGAGGCCCCGGCTGCGGGTCCGCAACGCCTGTCGGGATGGGCAATGGGGTTTTCTTCTGCTTCTTCTGGGCTGGCTCGGTGGTCGCGCCGTCTCCTGGGAGAGTCTGTTTTCCCGGTAAACCGGCACTCGCGTTACCGCGCGATTTCTTACCCATGGCTGGGTCAGCGAGAGCGTCACTACACAACGCGGAGCTAATTCGACTTGCGAACGAACGAACGAAACTAGAGAGAATTCAAATCGACTGAACTGCTCAACAGTCTGGCAGCGAATGCACTGCGGCTGTAATGAAAGCTGCACACTGTGGAATAAAAAAAAAAAAAAAATTAAAAATCACTTCCATTCTGTTCTATAACATGCGTTTGCTGTGTTCAACCAATCAGAAACGATGAAAGAAGAAGAACACAACAACTAACCAAAAGAATTTAACCCTCGAGTAGGTATAAAACAGCCAAAATTTGGAATTTTTGTTCACTTTTGTTTCAAACTTCATCGACGTTACAATTGTCATATTAGAAAATGACTGGACGCGGCAAGGGTGGAAAAGGACTTGGCAAAGGAGGAGCCAAGCGTCACCGAAAAGTGTTGCGTGACAACATCCAGGGCATCACTAAACCTGCAATCCGTCGTTTGGCTCGTTGTGGTGGAGTTAAGAGAATTTCCGGTCTCATTTACGAAGAAACCAGAGGAGTGCTGAAGGTATTTCTGGAAAACGTTATTCGTGACGCCGTTACTTACACCGAACATGCGAAGAGGAAGACTGTCACCCCCATGGATGTCGTTTACGCTCTGAAGCGGCAGGGACGTATTCTGTACGGATTCGGGGGTTAATTTAGTATCATCGACTCAGAACCAAAAAATCGGCCCTTTTCAGGGCCACCATATAAATTTAAAAGGTGTTTTAGAATTGACTTTCTTGCCAGAATGTGAAAGGTTGAAGTGATGTGATGGAGCGTTCATTCACAACCAATCTGCGGGTGTTAAGCTTAAATCAACGTAGGTCCTGCTGGTTACCGCTACTAATCCAGTACCGACAATATTCTGCATACATTTTGGTGTGGTAGTTCCAGATACGTCGTGCACTTCCAGAATCGAGAGAAGAAATTAATGAAAACGCCTGAGTTGTCCGAACGCGCTTTGGGGAAAGATATCGAGCTTATTCGAGCGTTTTATTTCGATAAGCAGCAGGTGTGCTGAAGGAATTACAGGGAAACGTCATTCGATGAACTGTTACATTCAAGTAATTTTTCCCCGGTATATGACCACAATTTTTAATAGGGCATCACGGCCACCCAAATTTGAGTTAAGTTAGCTTGTTTTAAGTGCACGAACTCAGCAATGAGAAAATGTTTTATGTTTGTCCAGGATAAACTTACTGAGAAAAGTAAATATCGGATACACATTCATTGGTACTACTCCTACTTAGAGTAAAATAATTTCATTTTCCGGCTGATTTTTGAGATTTTCCACAGGAAACCATGAGCCAATATTACTCATCGCTGGGTTCCTTAACTATTGGCTACTAAAATTTAGGTCGTGCTTATCGCAGGGTTGTCATTGTCAAAACTCAAAATAGTAAACCTATAACACTCTTGTAACTTACAACTTGTACTGTTTATTTTTGATAGAATAAAAGGAAACAACGATTCAGTCCAATGGAAATGGAAAGCTTCATAAAATTTCCAACATAGAAATACAAATTGATTGTGGTACCTAAAAAGAGTTATTAAGGAATATTCCTAAAATATAATATACACAATTAAGTACAACACATAACAGATGTTTTTTTTTTCTTTGTGGTTGTCTTTACAGACGGCTAAGACCATAGTTTGGTCCATCTCGCCTATAACAGACGTTATCCAACGCCAACCCTGCGGTCGTATCTAGTATACAACCCTTCCAACTTTTTTCTTCAAAGGAATTTCTTCGGAAATTATTTCTGTTAAAATTTTTTAGAACACGTCTATACCAATTTCGACATTTCCTACATTCCTTAAAATTAATTGCCAATTGACACTGTTTAATTTCAATTTTATTTTTTCGTAGTCTGCTAATTTGTATTCAAAGACTTCTTCGTATTCGTCTTTGGTTTTCATGCACAAATAAAGAATATTCAATTGCTGTGTGAAATGCTTCATTTTTCCACAGTGGATTTAATGATTCGGTCACACAGAAATCTTCATAAATATTCGTTAGTCCAAATAGCAATTTTGTTGGTTTTTGATGTGGTTAATTTGGTTCAGTCCTAAATTAGCAGTTTTGTCAAAAATGAACTGCAATGTTTCATTATCCCCAACGACTGGGAGTAAGATACATTCATTTTCAGAGTCCAGAATGAAGTCAGCATGGCGTTGATTAAAGTCTCCATAGATGTGAACTTTAACCTCAGGAGGAAGGTCAGATAGAATTTGTTCAGCACTTTGGAAGAAGGCTTCATAAGTGCTTTTATGAGCATGGTCTGATGGAAAATACACTGAGGCGAACACGTGCGTTTCACCGGCTATGTGTGATTTCACCCAAATATGCTCAAATTCTGTAAATTTTGGTGTAATGATGAGTTCTGAGTTAAAATTGGTCGAAAGAGCTATAAGGACTCCACCGCCTGACTTCTTCTGAGTTGCATGAAAATTTCTGTCGTCTCTGAATACATTATAGGCATTTCCAAAGATTTCTTCACTTTTCACGCTTTCGTCCTAGCTTGTTTCAGTTGCCAGAATGACCGAGAAGGATGAGCATAATAAATTTTGATAGATTTCCTTCATTTTAGCTGGGCTTTTCATGCGAATGAAATTTTGACAGTAAATCAAAATTTCAGTCGCATTCTGTTTATGTGAAGAAATTGATGGAAGTACGTCGGTTGATAAAATATTTACATTATTATTATTATTATTTACACTTACATTTCCATTTTCTTCTGAAAGTGTCCGAAGAGTGTTGTCGTTTGATGAGGTTTCTTCCGAAGTGTGCGTCAATGTCGATGAAAATTTTGAGTGTTGTAGAATTTATATGAGCCGGCGCCGGTGGTGTAGTGGTAAGCGTGACTGCTTTCTAACACCCCAATGGGTCTGGGTTCAATCCCCAGCCGAGGTCGGTGGGATTTTTCTGAGGCATAAAAATCTCTGGTCACGTCTTCCTTCGGAAGGGAAGTAAAGCCGTTGGTCCCGGCCCATGTGTGTTGAGTGGGTGCGATATCCTACGCAGGTGTGGAAGCTGCCTTCCTGCACATTCGGTTGCCGTCAATGGCAATCGATGTCCGTCGGTGATTGGCACTAGATTGCGGAACAGAGACCGACGTTAAATAAAGAAAAAAAAAAAAAAAAAGAATTTATATGCGGCTTCCCGTGTGTGCTGCAGTCGTTGTGTGCGTTCACTAGATAAGAACGCACGGTGTGATTCCAGGTCTGCCAGGGCGTCAATGCGTGGGATTCCAAGTTCTTGTTGTTGTTGTTGTTGTTGTTGTTGTTGTTGTTGTTGTTGTTGTTGTTGTTGTTGTTGTTGTTGTTGTTGTTGTTGTTGTTGTTGTTGTTGTTGTTGTTGTTGTTGTTGTTGTTGTTGTTGTTGTTGTTGTTGTTGTTGTTGTTGTTGTTGTTGTTGTTGTTGTTGTTGTTGTTGTTGTTGTTGTTGTTGTTGTTGTTGTTGTTGTTGTTGTTGTTGTTGTTGTTGTTGTTGTTGTTGTTGTTGTTGTTGTTGTTGTTGTTGTTGTTGTTGTTGTTGTTGTTGTTGTTGTTGTTGTTGTTGTTGTTGTTGTTGTTGTTGTTGTTGTTGTTGTTGTTGTTGTTGTTGTTGTTGTTGTTGTTGTTGTTGTTGTTGTTGTTGTTGTTGTTGTTGTTGTTGTTGTTGTTGTTGTTGTTGTTGTTGTTGTTGTTGTTGTTGTTGTTTTCTAAAAGTCAAGCATAGATCCTTGGATTCGGAACCGTCAACGCTCTTCTGCCAATAGATTATTAAGGCTGGACATGCTCGAAACAACATATCCGCTATGTGCTAATCTAGGAACCGGCGTGTCCATTCTACGCCGATCGGTCACGGTGGTGAACAGTATTTTGTTACGTTCATAGACGATTGGTCGATTTTGTGATGATCTTTCCGATGAAAACGAAGGACGAGGTAATCGAATGGTTTCAGTATTACGAAATGTGCTAAGTTCGGGGTACGTATTTCCCGACTGAAATGTGACAACGGAGGGGAGTACCGGAACAAAGCTTTCGAATCGTTTTGCCGTATAAGGGGAATCCAAATCGAATGGACTGTTCCCTACACACCGGAGCAGAGCGGGACTAGTGAGAGGATGAATCGTACCGTTGTCGAACGAGCTAGAGCGATGCTTGAGGATTGAAAAATCGGAAAGTCGTGCAGACAGCTGCATACCTTGTGAACAGGTGTCCGACTAATGCAATCGATGAAGATAAAACTCCTTTCGAGTGTTCGGAAGGTAAGAAGCCTGATGTTTCTCGACTTCGTGCGTTTGGGTCCACCGTGTACGTTCATGTGCCAAAGGAACGTCGCAAGAAGCTGGACGCCAAAGCATGGAAGGGCGTTTTCGTCGGGTATTCGCCCAATGGATACCGAGTGTGGAACCCGGAAACGGATACGATCGTGGCTGCTCGAGACGTCGATTTCGTGGAATCTCCGGAGAACGTGCAACATTCGAAGAAGAAGAAGAAGGCTGAAGTATCAGTGATCCAAATACGTCCTATTGATAAGGATGTCGAAGAAGATAACGGAGTATGAAGAGGCTGATCGCGAGGAGACAGAAGAAGCCGTTCCTGAGGGTAGACTGTTTCGGAATCGCAGTGCGCCTACTAGGCATCAAGACTATGAGGTAGACTATCCCAGTTTCGCATTGGACGCTTTAGTGTACGTTGAAGACTTACCTGAGTCAGTGTCAGAAATGCAGAAGAGAAGTGATTGGCCAAAGTGGCAGCAAGCTATGCAGGAAGAAATCGATTCGCTGGTGAAGAATGAGATCTGGACCTTGGCAAAGCTTCCGAAGGGTCGGAGTGCGATTACTTGCAAATGGATTTTCAAGATCAAGAGAGCGGAGGACGATCAGCCACCACGGTACAAGGCGTGAATCGAAGCAAGGGGATTCAGCCAATAACGTGGATTTGACTACGAAGAAACATATTCTCCGGTGGCCCGTTTGGATACCTTGCGTGCTGTTTTGGCGTTGGCAAATCGAGAAGGAATGACCGTACATCAGATGGATGTCAAGACGGCATTCCTTAATGGGACATTGTCGGAGGAAATACATATGCAACAGCCGGAGGGCATCGGTTACAAGGCTGGCATGGTGTGTCGCTTAAATAAATCACTCTATGGACTGAAGCAAGCGAGCCGAACGTGGAATGAGCGTTTCCACGCTTTCGTGGAGGAACTTGGCTTCAAGCGCAGTGCAAGTGATCTATGTCTGTCCTTTCGTGGATCAGGCGATACTGGTGCTGTATGTAGATGATGTACTCGTGGTCAGTCCTTCGGAGAAGATCGTACTGGAAGTCAAGCAAGCTTTGTCGG